CCATCAGACGGTAGAATCATCTATATTCTGGGGGTGGTAGCCCATAGAGATCATCCTGTCGCCCCTCCAATTGTACAGGCCACTCATCCAAGAAGAGCTGTTTGACTCAGGGTGAGTCATTGTGAGTGACTAGGAGCTAGACAGATCTCTAACAGGCAGACAGTCAGGGAAAGGGGCCACAGACAACACAGGCTTTTTCTTCCAAGGGTGGGACCGCCCTTTTAGATGACCACTCTGGGATGGCCAGATTATGTTCAAAGCCTGTCCTGAAGGCATTTACCTGAAGTTGTGGGCCTGCCAGCTTCCCTTTCTTTGTCTAAGCTGTCCAAACCAAAATTAGGGGAGGGGGACCCATCTCAGGATATCAGAAACACTTAAAACCCCAGCCCTCTGGGTGTGTGTGTGTGTGTGTGTGTGTGTGTGTGTGTGTGTGTGTGTTACTTGTTGTGGGCTGCTATGCCGAAGATTCTTCCTGCCCTTTGATTCTTTAATCAACAGAGGAAACGAACCCAATGAAGAAAGTCATCCTATCCAGGCTCCCTCTTGTGACCCTGGGGTCCTTGACCTTCTCCATTTCGCCATCTGGTTGTCCAGCTAAGTTAGAAACCTCTATACGCAATGCTAGGATCTTTTATTAACTTGCAGAAATCCTGTACCTTAGTCTCCCACTCTTGGCACATGCAATGCATATTTATTGTTAGGTCCAAAGACCTAAATTTTTAAAAATACAGCTTTACTCCCTTTCGGTTCTAGTTGTTAAAAAAAAAAAAAAATTGTAAAGTTCTTTCCTAGATATAACTGCTCGTAAGGATGAACGACTACATATAAGTAAACACAGAATTCTAGTGAGTATGTTCAGTGTTAATTAGAGTAAACACCAGTCACCAGAGACTCTGCAATTACATGATGGTGATGAAAATGACCATTTAGCAGTGAGGAGGAAAACAGGAAGGGTTTATACTAAGGACAATGATTACCCAAACTCTCACAGAGAAACTAAGATAAAACAAAACACTGGAAAGGACAGCGCATTGTGTGAGATTTACAGATTCACTTCATGCACTCCTCTGATATATATGACCCATTCCCACAATTAAACCAATTCTTTTTGGGGAAAAAAAAAGCTGTAAGCAATTGTGCTGGGTAGTTTGTGTGTCATCTTACAAAGCTATAGTCACGGGAGACAGGAGAAAATGCCTCCTTAAGATTGTGCTGCAGGAAAGCCTATGAGGCATTTTCTTAAACCGTGATGGGTGGGGGAGGGCCCAGCCCTGGGCTGGCTGTCTTAGGTCCTACAAGAAAGCAGGCTGAGCAAGCCATGAGGAGCACCCCTCAGTGATCTTTGCCTCATCAGCCCCTGCCTCCATGTTCCTGCCCTGTTTGAGTTCCTGTCTGGACTTCCTTGGATGATGAACATATGGAAACACCCAATGAGCCCTTTCCTCCTCAAACTGCTTTGGGTCGTGGTGTCTTCACCACAGCAATGATGGGTGATCTCAAAGCAGCCACACTAAATACTCATTCATCATGGGCATTGGCTTTCCATAGCTCACAGATGGAACCTCCACTTCTGCTCTTCCTCAACCTATATAGTCTAGTCTCTCTCCAAAGGCCAAGGGCAAGTAGGACAGAATTTCATACATCTGCTTTACATGGCGGCCTCCAGTTCATACATGTTTTCTGCAAGCAACATAAGCTTTTTCTTCATTACTAGGGAAAAATAGTAGCGACATATTGTCTTTTCTTTCCAAGGGTTAAATAAGACAAGTCTTCACTCTAAAAAAAAAAAAAAAAATTGTAAAGAAGCTGCTTAGCAGAAATACAAATTCCTCCAGGATCAGCAGTTCTTGAAATCAAAATGTGCTCTAGAGGTTTTGCTTCCTGTTGACAATTGCAAAGTTTATCAGTTCTGTCACTTTAAACTAGCTAGTCACATAATCGCATGAAATTGAGCTCTGACCATCCAGAGTGAGGCACAGGACCTTTTGTTTAGGAACAAAATCTCCGCATGGCACCCACCGGTGTGCTTGTCTGATTTGGTGTGGCTACACACCCTTTTGCAGAGGCAAATCTCTTTTTCCTTGCCAAAATACTTGGGATTACATGCATTTTTTTTTTCACCCCTGGGATCCCAAACACATTTCTAACAGTTAGCTCTGTATTTTCAATGTGCATTGGGTCTAGCAAATAACCTGGCTGGTTTGGCCATGCTGATAATTTATAGTTTAATTTCTAAGTGGGAATTCCCTCCTTTAATAGTTAGATATACACACGAATGTTTGTCCTCTTGCTACTTTTTTAGGGTGACTATTGCCCTGATGTAACCACCATAACCAAAACAACTTGGGGTTTTATCACTCTGAAGCGACACCGTGACCACAGTAACCCTCATTATATTGGGGACGGCTTACAGTTCAGAGGCTTAGCCTATTGTCATCATCATGGTGAGGAACATGGTAGCAGGCAGGCAGACATGGTACTGAGGGGCACCTGATCCTCAAGCAGCAGGAAGAGACAGGGAGCCACGGGCCTGGCTTGAGCTTCTAAAACCTCAAAGCCCACCACACTGACACACTTCCTCCAACAAAGGCCACACCTACTCCAGTAAAGCCCAACAGTGCCATTCCCTAGCATTCAAAGAATGAGTCTGTGGGGGTCATTCCTGTTTAAATGACCACAGGGAATCCAGAATTTGTTAGACTTTGGCATCCACACTGCTGCTGGTCATTGGAGGAAGTCAGGCCAGGAACTCAATTAGGGCAGAAACCTGCAGGCAGGAGCTGATGGACCTGCTATTCATGGCTCACTCGATCTGCTTTTTTATAGAACCCAGGACCATCAGTCCCTCACCCACAGGGGGCTGGGCCCTTCCCCATCAATCACGAATTAAGAAAAATGCCTACAGCTAGATCTTATGGAGGCATTTCCTTCCTTCCTTCCTTCCTTCCTTCCTTCCTTCCTTCTTTCCTTTCTTTCTTCCTCTTCTTTTAAATAATTTATTTAACTTTATTTTATGTGCATTTGTGTGAAGGCATCAAGACCCCCTGGAACTGAAGTTTCAGACAGCTATGAGCTGCCATGTGGGTGCTGGGAATTGAACCCAGTTCCTCTGGAAGAGCAGCCGGTGCTCTTAACTGCTGAGCCATCTCTCCAGCTCACCCCCCCTTTTTTTTTTTAACATCTTAAGTTCTTTTATTTATTTTTCTTAAACAAAAAAGCGGGGATAAAAATATAATTACGTTACTCCAAAGATGCAACAAAATAAAAAATAAATCAAGAGGATATGATTTTTTTTAATGTTCGGGTGATCCAGGATGACTCTTTAAATCATGCCATTTATAACTTATTACAGTTCTAAACAAAAGTCACCACAGGGAAGGGAACAGAGCGAGGCCCGGGGGTACAACACTCAACACTGTCACACAATGCCTGTCAAAGTGTGGCACCTCTGCGTGCCAGGGAAACTGAAGCCACCTTCAGGCAGGCAAGGAGAGTCAGTAGAGGGTCTGGGAGCAAGCTGGGAAGCTTTGTCCTGTGTGAGAGGGGTTCAGTCGCTCAGAGCATTTTCTCAATGATGTTCTTAGATGACTCTAGCTGACAAAAAACTACTTAGCACAATGTCTTTCCTATTCATTCATCTCAAGATTTCCCTTTGACATACAAGTAGAGAAGGCTTTCTTCTAAGTCGGTCACACTACAGGATGAGCCACGAACTGGGCACAGGGCCCACGGTGCCTGCCTTTAGCTCCAAAGGGCAGGGCGGGCAACCTTCAGCCTCAGCCACTGTCCCTGGTAATTCTGGCACCAGTGCTGTTTGTTATAGACAAGTAGAACACCTGGAGGATGCTAGAGAGGAGAAATAACCCTCCCGAGACACTCAGAGGCCATCAGTCAGCCAGCTTACAAAGGAGGATGAAGACCCAGTTGGCATTCAGCCCTTTGCTGTTGTTCTGGACTTGCTTAACTTAATCTGCCACTGACTAGGCCTTAAGGACCTTGCTGAAAAGTCTCCAAGGATTAGTTAAGATGTAGTTATTCAGAAAAAGGCCCATTGTCCTTTAAAAACTACTTATGACCTCTTAGAGCACGCTGTCCTTGAGCTGAGGTTACTGTGGTGAGCAAACACTGGACTTAATCACAATAAGCAAGGTGGCTTAAACGTCGTGGGTTCACTTCCTGGCCCGTGAAATGGGGATAATACTAGCTTTACAGAGCTGACATGAGGATATAATAGACCTAAGAAGTGACTGGATAACTTGAAGAGCTCATCCAGGGAAGTGTTTGCAAGATTCAATGTAGGCATATGATTAAAACGAAATGCAGTCCAACTCAAGCAAGTTATGTGTGGAGAAATGTTCCTCAACAGGAGTATTTTAGCAGCAACGGTGGGAACAATTGGAAGTCTCATCCTTCCCTCTTAATTTTCAAATAACCAAACATGACTGTGAAGGCAGCACTCCTCCCTAGCCCACTAAACCCAGGTTAACTAACTGGCTAGAGACTCTAATAGGGAAGAAAAAACATCGCGCCATTGCACTGCCGGCTGCTTGGGGTCCATCATGGCTGGGCCAATTTCAGTCTTTCCCTTCCCACATCTAGTCCCAGGATCCAGGAGAAGGAGCAGCCCGCCCCCAGCCCGAGGCTCCCGCGCTGTCCCGCCACCTTGCTGGGCAGGGTTTCCAAAGGAAGCCCGCCTAACCAGAGGAGGCGGGGCGGGGCGGGGCAGCGGAGGGCGGGGCTCGGGGGCGTGGCCCCGGCTTACCCGCGGGGCTGACGCGGTCTAAGGGTTCGGCGGGGAAGGAGGAGGGGCAGGGAGAGGCGCTGGGGGCGTGGCGGGGGCGGGGCCATGCGCGTGAAGGTGGGTCCAGGCCTCCTGGGATCCGGGCGCGCCGGGTCGAGGCGGGGCTTCCGCGTGGTGGGCGGGGCCTCGGCGGGTCCGGGCTGGACGGGCTGGGGCCAGAGGAGGCTCGAGCTCCCCAGCTCGATCTGCGGGGCAGGGCTGCCTGCAGCTTCTCCATCCTCCTGCACCGGGACACGGCGGCCGGGGAGAGGAGGGCGCAGGGACGCGGCGATGGCTCCGTGGGGACTCCCGGGGTCCGCTGTGCTCTCTGCCGCCGTGTTCGTGGGAGGCACCGTGAGTTCGCCGCTGGTGGCCCCGGGTGAGTGAGTGCGTGCGTGGTCCGGGCGGGGGCCCCGGCTGCTGAGTCGGATGTGCACGCGGAAGGGAGCGAGCGAGGGGCACGGACCCCGCAGCCCCGCCGCGCCCTGGCGAGTTGCGCGCGCCCTGCGCGGCCACCGGATCCGGGCTCTGGACATCTGGGTGTCCCGGGGTGGCCCGGGCTGGGTGCGGCGCTCGGCGCGGCTCGGGTCCCTCCCCACCCTTAACCGTGCTCCCGCCTTTCCTTCCCTCCCCTTCCCTGCCTCTTCTGAGCACCGCGGCACCCCAGCCCCGGACGCTGGGGCGCCTTCTCCCCAGCCGCGTGCCCTGGGGATGGGGTGGGGACGGCGGAGGACCCCTTTCTACCGCCCTGATCGCAAAGGCCTCTCTTGGCAAAGATCTTGATACTCGGGACCGGGTGCTGATCTACCGCTGCTTTTCTCGCTCTCCTATGTTTTTCTTTTCTTTTCTTTTTCATTATGTGAAAGCCTTGAAAGTTCCAGTCTTTGCAGGTGGTTATGGATTCTTGCAGTAACTCAGTAATTTCGCACTCCTTCCTATATGCCCTGGATAAATTAGGTCGGGAAAGAGGAAAGGCACAAATGTAGAGTACAGTGTTTTTTCTTTGTATCAGATCCTGTCATCACAAAAGAAATCCTCCGAGGTCAGGGTGGAAGCCACAAGCGCTAAGCTAAGCGTCTTCCTCAACCAGGAGCTGTCAGTGGGGGAGTGTTTCTAACCGAAATCTCTTCTTTTACTAAAGGAAGCCCTGTTAAGACACACGCATGGGAGCCCCAGTCGTTGTTTACCCCTCTTAATTACGACCTCATTGCAGTAGTTAAGAAAAAAAATAGATTAAGCCTTCCTGGCCATTTGGGGTTACCACAGGCTGATTTTTACGTCAGCAGGCTCTGCCAAGCTGCCTTCAGGGGTGGCTCCTCTTCAGGCCCAAATAATAAGCAGCTGGAAGGCTTCCAACAGCGACTGTCTCCTTTATAAAATACATGCACCGCTTTTCTTTAGTCCTGAACATTCCGGTCACTTAGAGCTTTGAAACTGGCTTATCACTGATCATTTGGCCTTTACTTTTTCATTGGAATCGGAACGTGCTAGGAAGGGGACCGGATAGATATGTGTCTCTTGAGTATTGATTAGCAGATTCACATTTCCTTAGCCATCCACCTGGGGGAAAGGGAAGCTAGTGACAAGTTGGATTGGATGGGGGATTTTTGTGTGCATCCTGTGTTTCTTTGCTGGGACTTGTAAATACGGAATAGGTTCAAATTAGATTGGAAGCTGCAGATAGTATCCAGCTGTAATCACTTGTTGCAGAGTTTGAAGAAAAAAAAAAAAAGCTGAACCTGGGAGTCAGTTTGTTACAATTTAGTACAATTTAGTACTGGCTTGTAATCAGCCTTCATTAATCAGGAGATACCCTTGGCTGGGTTGCTGAACAACATCTGGGTGTCAGGCCTGCAATGTGACTTGAAGAAGGTCTTACCTAACTGTGCTTTCTGGCGAAAGCTAATGCTTGAGGAGAGAGAACAACATGGAAAGGTTGCAGGTTCAAACTTGATAGCAGGCTTTGAGGCCTGTGTTAAGAGACGAGACCAAACAGCTGGCATCTGTTCTCTTTGGACTCAAAGCTGAGCAGTAGGAAGAAAGAGAAGGGAACTCATACAGACAGCCTGCCGTGTGCTTTTGTTGGGCACTGCATGTGTATTTTGAAACTATTCCTCATAACCCAAGTTGTATTTTATTCTCAGTAGAGCAACCGAAGCCTGTCATCACATAGGTACTGTGTCAGTAAGCATTGGATAATACATTGTGTGTGTGTGTGTGTGTGTGTGTGTGTGTGTGTGTGTGTGTGATAACACAGCCTGCTTGATTTTAAACTCATTTTCTTCCCGTTGCCCTCCGCTGCTTCACAGATAATTTAGAGCATAAGTCACCCTCAGGAACATGAGTTGGATTGTAAGATAGTTTTAAGAAAGCCAAACATCATAGCATGAGCATGGGCAGCTAGCTGTGCAGTGGAGAAAGGACAGATACTGTCACAGTGGGTGGCGACAGTCTCTCTCACTTCCTTTTTTGTAAACTGCCTAAAAAGTAGCATTAGAAACAGCTCTACGAGCACCAGAGATGCTCTTCCATGTCTTGCCTTATTTATGCACCTAAGTTCTGGTTACTCAGCCTCTGGGCTTACTGGTTTCTCACTGTTCCTATCAGACAGCAGGCACAGCCCTTGAGTGAGAGGTGAGTAAAACAGTTCCAGGGCTGGTGCTGTGAGAGGTGCATGGGCCCCGGGCTCTGTGGGCATCCGTCCAGCCTCGCTCGGATTCCTCATTTAGATGCTGAAGATATGTTTGATTAAGTTCTGGGTTTTCCTTTGGCTGGGTAGCTAAAAGCTGCTTAGCTGAATATCCACCTGAGACACAGACATTGGATTGGGTGCAGTGTTGGGGGGTGGGGGGTGGAGGAATACTGTTTGGAGCTTGGGATTTCATGCTTACTCCAAATTTCAAGAGGAAATGAAAAATGTTACAAGTGGCTGCTGTAGGGGGATATGGCATCTCCCATCAGGCTGCCCTTTCTTTTTCTTCTCTGTCTGTTCCCTAGCCCTTCAGCAAAGAATTCAGCAGGCAGGCTTTGGGAGGATTTGAATGTGAGAAGCCACAGTCTAGGTGATTCAGATAGAAGAGTTTCAGTTTTATTTCTTTAAAGACTTAGTTTGGCTTTGATGCTGAAGTCTTATTACATGTTTGTGCCATTTTAATTACATTATTTTAAAATGACACACATTAACACATGACATTATTTTTTTAAAAATCTGATGTAAGTTGCAAGGACTAAAATTGAAACTTGGCATCAGGTCCTGTGGCTCCTGGGCTTTGGATGGAGCTCAGTGTTGGAGTGCCTGCCTGCCATGTACTGGAGTCCCGGGTTCAATCCCTAGCCCTACAGAAAGACACACACACACACACACACACAGAGAGAGAAACAGAAATGAAAATAAAAATATAATCTAAATTGTTATTAGTTAAAACTTAAAACTACTGTCCTTAGTGTTGGTTGTCCATTAATTTTTTGCATTTGTGATTTAGGAGCTGGTAAAAATTTTGAAGTTTCATTTTTTTTTTAAATTTATGTGTAATTGTCATCAATACAATTTTGGTCTTTACTCCAGCAATTATAATACATATCATTCATATGTTACAACTTACTTAGATTTAATACTGTACAGTCTTTATGTAACTGTCATACACAACAAGGAATTGGTAAAGTTTTTTGGAGATGCTAAGCCAAGATAGTAAAAAATCCTGGTGTAAGAAGGCTGGGCATGATGCCACACTCCTTTAATCCTGGCTCTCTGGAGGCAGAGGCAGGCTGATGTTTGAATCTGACGCAGGCCTACTCTACACGAAGAATTTCAGTACAGCCAGGTCTATGTCGTGAGGCCTTAACAAACAAGCAAACAAGAAGAAGATCTGGTGTAGGACTGAAGGACTAAAACTGAAAGTTGGCTTTACCACACTGTGGCTTCTTTACTGTTTTTGGAAGGGGGATTCAGTGTTTATTATTGCCTGCATGATGGCAGGTGGGGGGCTTTGTACTCAGGTCATTTAATCCTTGTAATTCCACAAGAGTGGTTTTATTCCCATGTTTATGGCTGGAAAAATGGAGAATCTGAGGAAGTGGTTAAGTCACTCCGTGTTACTGGCCTTTGCCAATGTTGTCATATCCGTTCAGTTCCTAAGTGCATCCTAAGCCTTCCTCTCTCTCCTAAGCCTTCCTCTCTCTCCCTCTTTGAAAGAAGATTCTTTTCATCCTGAAGTGTTTATGGAGAGTCCATGGTGACTCCCTCTGCAGTGTCCTAGGGGGTTTTGAAAAGGCCCTCCCACAGTTTGTGCGGGGGGGGGGGGAATGTGGGGATGGGGGGTGTGGGGGATAGGGTGGGGATGAGGGAGTGGGGGTAGGGGGTGGGGGGAGTGGGGGAATGGGGGGAGTTGGGGGGGAGAATTGCCCTGATCTCCTTCCTACCTGGAGGCACTTGCCTTAGCATTCCATTCTTGTCTTGTGCTTCTTGACTTTGGGTAGGACCCTAATGCCCTGCAGTTAATTAGCTCGGTCCCCTTTACCTTTGTTACATTCGGTCTCCTTTTCTGATACCCTGGAAAGATGTGTTGCAGTGTCCCGTCCTGCAGCTTTACCGTGTTTTACCTCACCGTGCCTCCTTCGGGAGGCTGTAGTTAATGGCCATTGTTTTTTAAAATTATTTAAAACTGTGTTGTTTCAGCGAACACCTTTGTCCACAAGGTTTGGTCTGATAGTCGATTGCTTACATAGAAAATGAGTTCTCGGGAAAGTGGCTTGCCGATCAATGATGTTCAACGTTGTTAGGCCATTGATAACTGCACTGTTGGTCTGAGGTTGTGGTTTGTACTTTTAAAGCAGTGGTCTAAGGCACTCATCTCTCGCTGTTAGTATTTCTTTTCCCCTGAAAGTAAAAAAGCACATGCTTGCTGATTTGTTAGGCGAGTATTGGCATTTACTTAATTTGTTATAATCATTGGCTTTTAAAAGATTGGCTATTTTTTTTTTTAATATTCTTTATCAGGTTGTCCTGTCTCTGTGCCCCCCTCCCCAAGTATCAGAGGCATTTGTATACATTGCTGTAATCTTTTCTGGAGTGTTTTCAAATGCAAAATGCTTTGAAAACTGAGGACTTTTGATGTACTCTGGTGGTGGTGGTAACACACAGCCCCAGCGTGAGATGTTCACGTCTATGTTTGATCTCACATAGGTTGAATAGCCATATGCTTTGCTGCAGTAATCTGACACATTTGATTTCTGAGTGTACATTGAATGCACTCTTCTACCTTTCTGGAATCACACATCTGCCTCTAGGTTTTCAGTTAAAGGACTTAAGGTCCTGCGTTTGCTTTTCCTGACTCGTCTGTTCATGCTTTCTCCCATCTATTGGAAGCCAAGTATAAGTAT